TTAGTTGTGTTCTTCCAGGGTCTTGGAACAGAAAAGGTAGAAATTGGAACGTACAGGGAGCTCTGAGGTGTGCTGAGGAAGAGCTGGGCCAGCTGAGCTGGGACAAAGACCAGCAACATAGAAACTGCAGAGAAAGGAAAGCATTGRGATGCTTCTTGAGATCCTCACAGTATTCAAACACGCAGCAACAGCCAAACACCAGCTCCACACTGGAGCYTGGGTGAGTCCTGGCCTGCTGAAGGCAGCCCAAAGTGCCCACAGGCTTCAGTGAAGCCACTGATTCTCCATCAGCCTCTGGCATCTCAGTTTAGGTGGTCAGCAATGGAATTGGGCTTATCCCACTGTGCACACTGGGAAAATGGATCTGCCAGTGTTGTTGTCTTGGACCAGATTTCATATTGGAACTCAGAAGTCACACCTCCCTGTGTATCACTTCCCTGTCTCCTGAGAAACTCCAAACTCTGCCCAAAAGGCAATTGTGCAAGACATGGAAAATGGTGCAAATGTGTGTTCCATTAGGAATGAGGATTTGTGATATTCTCAGCCCTGCAAGGATTGATCAAATGGACCAAGCACTTCAGTCATCTCACTAAGGTGCATGAACAGGCTGTTCTGAAAATTGGCCTCCAAGCTGTCAGAGAAGGAAAACATGCCAGTGATTCTGTGGAGGTGACAGGGATGAATTTGGGCAAAGAGAAGAATAACACTTCAGGTGACTGTAACTGTTCCAAAATAATTACCTAAGGCATCGCTTAGCCCTGTATTTAAAGCAAGATTTGTTCCAAGACATGTGAACAAAGGCGTTTGAGAGGCACCGTGCAGCTCTGCCTCCCTCTGATGCTGCTGGGCTGATGCCACCCCCGGGCAGGGACCAGCCAAGTCTTGGTTAAAGTCTCCTCCTGCTCCTTGAGAGGTGACAAGGCTCAATCAATCCCCCCGTGCTGAGAGAATGATGAAAAGGTGACAAGCACGGCAGGATCCTCTCACTGGTCTGTCCAAATGTTGATCAAAACTCACTGAGGGCAGCAGTGAGGAGGGAGATGATTCCTGCCCCAGGGAGATTTGGGCTTTGTTGGGGAAAAGCAGCATCAGTGTTGGCCACTCAGGAGAGGTGAAAGGGAGAGTTAAGAAAACTGTGGCCTTAAACCAGAAAGGTGCAAGCTATGAGAGATGTGAGACATTCTTAATGTTCAGAATTAAAATAGATGAAAACAAAACCACTGTCTGCACCTTCCTGCAAGGGCAACTATTAAAGCCTCTTAACACACCCACATGAACTTACAAATCTGTCTGATTAGACAAGGCAGCAGTCCAGGATTGACACAAATGCTAAAATATTTAAAATCTTAAGAAAACTGTWTTATAAGAAATTATAAGAAAACTGTGTAGCACCGGGCAGCCTAAGAATAACAGAGTGGATGGAATAATGAGGAGAAGCCGTGGGAGGCAGCATTAATGAGCCTGGTGTTCTGCAGGCTCCTGCCTTGTTGCTGCCTGCAGGTGAGGGCCGGTGGGAGGGCTGGGCTGGCTGCTCCTCCAGCCCTGGGATCCTAATGGGATCAAACCCCGGCCACAGCATCCAGGAGAGCACAAAACAGCCTCTCCCGCCTGCGTGCATGTTGCTTTCCCCGAAATGACCGTGCCTTCCTTGCCGAGCCGCATTTCAGCGAGAGCAGGGCCATTTTCCAGCCCGCACAGAGGCTCACCCAGCTGCCCCTGCCTCGGTGGGGAGCGGGGTACAGCGCTTGTGCTTGTGATTCTTTCTCAATCGCTGCCATTATTTTTAATGCTCCGCAGAAACCATTCTGCTTTTTCCTCATGCAGGCTGCAGCAGTTGGAAAGAGCTCCATTAGTTCACCATTTAGGGGACATTGACAGGGCAGGTGTACCGCAGAGAGGTTCACAGCTGTTGACAGCTCCTCGCAGCTGGGATGGTACAAAAGAAGGAGCACAAGAAGGGCAATTTGGTAGGTGACAGGCTAATGGGTTATGCCTGCAACTGGYGTCAAGGGATAGAAGGAAAACTGTTGGACGGTGTGCTAGTGGCCTCATTTTACTAAAGATTAGTGGTGAAAAATGATTGATTCTGTTCTGGCAAGTTCTGCAGGACTGCGATGATAACGTTGGAGCTCTCTGTGGCTGTAGATTCGAACTCTTAGAGATCACCTGGTGTTGAATATTTTTTCAGGCAACAAAACAAAGGACCACCCTATTACTCTTGGGTCTAGAGGGAAATTTTTTAATGGAGTGGGCCCCTATCTCTCTGAAAAATGTTTGCTGCAGTACTGAGCAGTCACACAGGACATTCTGAGCCAAAGGATTTTATCAGAAAAAGTATTTTCTTGGTGTCCAAAGTTTTTGACAGTACTTTGTAAATAATCGTTTTGGTGCTGATCCAGCAAAGCACTTAAGGGAATCCTTAACCTTAAGCACAGGAGAATTTCCTAGATTTCGGTGGCACCATTTATACACTTCAAGACCAAGACGTGTTGAAGTGTTTTGCTGGATCAGGTTTCCTCAGCATCTCCCCCTGCCCAAACTGGAGCTCGCTCTGCTTCCGATGAGGCCAGGCAAAGTGCCCGTTCTGTGACGCACAGTCGACTCCATCATCTTCCTTTGTTTTTCCTCCTCGTGCATTTAAACTGACTTTAAACTGAAAGACCAAACTATCAGTGACATGCACAGCTGAGACCTCAGCCTATGGGGAAGGTCTTATAAATACCTATATGGCATGGTAATTTCACACTTTAATAACCTTTTACAGATACAAATTACCTGAATACATGTTGCAGGGAGAATGAAAACKATAATTGAAACCTGTATCAAATTCAAGTTGTGAAAAGGATATCTCTAGAACACTGCATTATGATTTCGGCAACCAAATATAAAGATTAAAATCCACAAAGCCTTTAAGCAGATCATGTGCAGTCGTGCACATATACAGCCAGAAAATCCACCAACATCCCATCAATCTTAAATTAAACGTGAGGACCAAGTCAAAAAAAAAAACCCTTGCAAGATGCCTGTTCAATAAATAAATTAAAAACATCACCACAGACCATCAGTCAGGACTGAAGTGTTGCCTCTGCAGACTGGGAAGTACTCAAACCATTTTGCAGCCTCACTTTCTGCATCTCTGCAGAGATTAACATTCCAAAAACCCCACAACATTCAGATTGGGGGGAAATCCAGAGCCTGGAGGATGCTGCAGAGAGAGGAAAGGGCAAGGGAACACGAGCAGGACCAAAGCCAAAGCCAGAGCTAGGAGCTGAGACCCAAACAGCTCACATTCCAGACGGAAAAGGTTGTTTGTACAACAAAATTCTGAATTGTGCCAAGGTCTTTGCAGGTTGTGGCGTAGCAGGGTGTGTACAACCTGAGGATGTTTCTCCCTTGTGGGAATGGATCAAACAAAGCCCTGGCCAGACCCCATGCCTTGTTTGAGGCACAGTCCCTTGTTCCCACAGCGATATCAGGCTGCAGCCCCAGCCCTCARCCCTTCTCCATACAGTTCTTGAGGMTGATAGTGAGATCCTCCCCGARMTGTTTTCCAGAGCCTRTATATTTCACTCCAGACGCCTGTCAACCCTGAGAGGCTGGAAGAGCAGACACTGGAACCCACATCCACTTGGCAGCACACATCTTTCTCCATCTCCCTCGGTTTTTACCATCTCAGGTGTTAGCTGAGCTGCTTCGGCGCTTTAGGGGCTGTGGGACTTGGCATCAGAGCCCAGCTTGGTGTCTCACCCACAAGCAAGAGCTGACGAGCTTTTTCTGCCAACGCTATTCCTCAGTGGTGGCCCGGGGAGTTGGGCACAGTCCCAGGTCCCCCACAGCCCGGGGGGTGGCAATCCCTGCCCGCAGCCATCCTACATGGCAGCAGCCAGCAGCAGTGACCCCATCCCCACCGGCGCACCAACCCTCCTCCTCCTCCTCCTCCAGCTGCTCTGATCACGCAGGCAGGATGGAGGACATTGCCAAATTTTGCTTGGCTGGACTTTGATTTTTATTTTTATCTTCTACAGCTTGTAAAAAGGCTTTTAAAAGATGGGATATGTCTCTCTGTTTTCCCCATGGGCTCCGCTTATTTATGACTTTTTTCCCTTTGTCTCCAAAGGGGCTCAAAGTAATGGGCTTGTTTTAAGGTCCCCCGAATGAAAATGACTGCATTCCCAGGTTGCCTGAGTATGGTGCCTCCCAGAAGTTGCTTTAGGGTTGTTACCGCAGGACCAGCAAGGGGAGCTCAAGCCTTGTTTACGGTAGGTCCTGCACTAATTCTCTCTGCTAGCGAGGTGTTTCTCACCCCAGTGCGTGACCCGAGCGGGGATGCCCACGGGATGGTTCGTGCTTTGGCGGGCGGGGGCTGTGGCACGACGCGGGGCAGTGGGAGGTGGAAGCGAGCGGCCGGTGTTCAGGCAGGAAGAGAACCGAGAGGTGAGAGGGTCGGCTCGGGCCCAGCCGCGGAGAGCTGCTGAGCGCCGACACGCCAGCGCCAAAAGACGCGTTTTTCTAACCAAGTCCACCCAGATGCGCCAGCTGCCAGCCGAGGGGGAGCGGGGGAGCGGGGGAACAATYCAGCCGGCCCGGGGAGGGTGGTCCGAACGGACCCCACTCCATCAGCACCCGAGGGGGAAACCGGGGCAGCCGCCGCGCCCCCATCCCCGCCCTGTCCCGCCCAGCCGGAGAGCAGGGGCCAATTCAGGCGCTGACCAGGGGCCGCGGTGACGGGGATGTCCCCAGCGGTCCGGGCCGGGCAGCTTCACCCCATTCCGATCCGCACGCCGAGGTGCCCAGCCCGGACACTGCGGCGGGGCTGCGGCTCCGCGCCCGAGCTGCGCCAGGGCAGCCGGTGGGGCAGCGCGGAGCCGGGGGCCGGGCGGGCGCCGCTGTCGCCGCGGCGGTCACACGGTTAATCGCGCCGGAGCCGCGGCACGGGGCGGTCTCCCCGCCGCACCTCCCTCCCCGCGGCCGCCCCCGCCCGCCCCTCGCTCCGCCGCCGGCGCCGCACCTGCCCGCAGCCCCGCCGACAACTTTCYCTGCCTGTTGCGCGCACCGAGCTTCGTGCCCGGCGGCCCCGGCCATGGGCACCGCGGGGCAGCGCCACGGGTAGGCGGCCCGAGGGGGTCGGGCCGGGAGCGCTGCCAAAGCTCTCCGCCCTCGCCGATCTCCGCCGCCGCTGCAGCGATCGCTGCCCCGCGCTCGGCGAGCATGGAGGTGCAACTGGGGGTCGGTCGCGTCTACCCGCGGCCGGCGGGCAGGACCTTCCGCGGGGCTTTTCAGAGCTTCTTCCAGAGCGTCTGCGACGCTTTYCAGCCGCCGCGGGAAGAGCCGGTGGCCGGGCAGCCGCCGCCGAGCGCGCCCTGCCCGCCGAGCCCCCGGCCGCCGCCGGACTCCCCCGCCTGCCTGCCGCCCCCGGCCGGCTGCCTGCCGCCCCCCGAGCCCCGCGCCCCCGGTAAGGCGATGCCGGCCCCCGGCCCCGCCATGGGCTCGTCCTTCCCCTGCGCCGGAGAGCTGAGGGAGCTGCTGGGCGAGGCGGGCGCGATGCCGCTGCTGCCGCCCCCCGAGACCGAGCCGGCGGACAAGGAAGACCCGCTGGGTGACAGCGCCCGGCAGCTGTGCCGCGCCGTGTCCGCCTCCATGGGGCTGGCGCTGGAGGCTCTGGAATCGCCTGCAGAGCCGCTGCCCCGCGAGGACTGCATGTTCGCCGTGCCCRCCGGGCCGCCCCGCGCCCCTCGCCCGCCCGCCCGCGATCCCTCGCCCGCCTTCGAGGCCGCYCTGGCAGTCGAGCCGCCCGCCGGGCCGGGGCTGCCCCGCGGCTTCGGCCGCGTAAAGCTGGAGAGCGCGGCGGGGCCGGCCACGGGAGGCGCCTGGGGCGGCCCGTGTCGCTTCGGGGCCGAGCTGGTCCCCGCGGGCCCCGCGCCCCCCTGGCCCACCTTCTTCGCCGAGGAGGGGCAGCTCTACGGGCCGTGCCCCGAGCCTCCCGCCGGGCCCGCCGAATGCCCTGCCGATGCCTGGTACCCGCCGGGCCGGGCGCCGTTTGCCGCCCCCGCCGCCGGCATCAAGAGCGAGTTGGAGCCCTGGGTTGAGGGTTACGCCGGCGCCTACGGCGACCTCCGGTGAGTACCCGCGTCCCGCAGCCCACCGGCATGCCCAGCCTGCTCCGTGCTTCCCGCCTGCACCGGCATCCTGTGCCCGCATCCCTCATGCCACCTTCTGCACCCCGYATCCCACCGCCGCTCCGCGACCGCCCCGCCGCCTGCCGCAGCTGCCCCGCGCTCACCGCGGCTCCAACCCCGCCCTGTCCTGGCTGTTCCCGCCTCGGTGCATCCCTCCGCTGCCGACCCTTCCCTTTTGCCGGGACGCTGTCATTTGGGACTGGCTRGGCGAGATCGTGCCTGGAATACCGCGGTGCACGCCCGGTGTCGCCGCCGTCCCGTGAGGTCGTTGCGTTTATGTTGTTTCCTCAAGCATCTGTTATCCAGCTGCTCCCGGCCGCTGGGAGCGGGGGAGATCGGGACGCTGTGCCCCGAAGCACGGACGGACCTTGAGATCGAGTTAAAATCTTCCCAGCTCCTTGTCCCRCCGAGAACTGCCTGCCGGGAATGCACTTTGCAGAGTAGGGAACCCCGAATGTAGTGGCAGAGAAACATGATCACCTATGCATTGGGGTGATTTTAAGTACAGGTAGAAAATGCGTTTTAAAGGAGAGCTAGAACAGGTTTTGGGAATGCACCAGGGGATGAGAGATTTATTTGAGAAGTAAGATTCCATCAAAAGTATTTTTTCCTGGTGGATTAACCTCACAAAAAGGAGATGAACCATCTCGGTAAAATACGTGTGCAACATCCAAACCAGCGGGCACCTGCATGCTCACCTGTCAGCACAGMAAAGTGTGGCTGAGCTGCTGGAAATGAAAGGGAAACAGGTCTGCCCAAGGGATTTTCTSCTGGCTCAGAGGCAGCTCCGTGAGGGAGTGTGTGAGGCCTCAGCTGGKGTTTGCATCGTGGGAGTCCTGCATCCACACACTCGCCTTGTGATGCTCAAGATGCTGGGAGCAAAGGCTGAAATGAACAATTAGATTTTACCTCTGAATTAGCACTGGGCGACTGTGCTGCCTCTGGGCTTCTTTGTGCTTTAAATGCTTCATTTGGGTGCTGTGGCGATTTCCATCCACACAGTGATTTACTGGGGGACTGCACAGAGATGTTGAGGRCTTGGCAAGAGAAAAAAGAATAAAAGCAATGACAGGTCAGAAAGAGTGCAGCTGTGAGCATCATCCAGCTGTGAGCTTTGTACGTGGCAGGAGCTATGCAAGCTCCGGGTGTGCCTCTRGAGTCTGGATAAATCTCTGGTGGGATCAGTGCAGGGGAGGCAGGGAGGAATCAAGTTGGAAAAGTTCAGCGTTCGGGTGCTGGTGATGGCGGTGCAGGTTTGTTCCGAGCTTTGCCTGCGGAGCCTGTGCAGCGGATTTCACRCAGACAGGGAGCGCTGTGCTGAGGAGAGCAGCTCTGGGCTCCCGTGGAGGTCTGCGGGAAATCTGGGGGGCTGGACCAGGCAGCAACAGGTACATTTAGCCCGGGTCTTGCCTTAGAGATAAAGGATCTCTTCCTCATTCCTGTGGGAAGCGCTGTCTACTCCTTTTCCTTGCAGCTCTGTTCGGTGTGCTGTGCCTGCTTCCCTTGGCAGACTTTTGTGGGATCAGCGGGGTCGGAGCTGGCACAGGAGCCTTTGCAACACCAGTACGTTGTCCTTTGAACGCCAAGGCTCGTACAGCACTGCCCTGCTGCTGCGAAGGTGTGATGGGGGGGCTGACATCGTCTCTCTGTGTTCAGATGTGATTTTCAAACACCGTAAGGAAAGCAGAACGCTTGTGGTCTGGCTCAAGCCATACGTGTTAATCGCTGCCAGGTTTACATTTCACCCTAGTAAATTCTCCATTAACTTTACAACGTGCTGCCAGCCCATTCCTGCAGCTTTGCATTTTCTTCTGGACCTGTGGGTGCCAGCACAGGAACAKCCTCTGCTGCTGCTGGAGCTGGAGCTGGTGGGTCGAGTACCAGCATCCCAGGCAGCAGTGCCTGTGGGAAGAAAGGTTCGTGGGAGCTGAGAGGCTCTGTAGTGAAGTTCCCCGATGGAAGGATGATTGGTTTCTGGACCTGCACCCCTCTGCTGTCTGGTGCTGGGTCTGATCTCCTGCCCTGCTTGACCTTGAACATGGAGCTTTCCCCTCCAAGCCTCAGAGGGTGCAGCCTCAGTGCTCTGTGGGGACAGTGAGGGGCACTGCTGGGCTTTGACAAGCCCCAGTGATGGGMAGCTCAGTGCCCTGTGCCTGGGGATGCTACCAGGGGCAGAGRCACACACAGCCCCCTCTGCTTTGGAGAATAAGGAGCATTTCAAGKTGTGCTGCTCCTACTTTCTTCCCTMTGAATGGTCCTGCTGTCTGCMACCAYGATCAGGGCTCTTCCCTCACATATGAAGTTCTCCCAAGCACCAACTCTACCSTGCTGCAGTTGGGGCCAGGTATGGGCAGGTATTTTTTTAGTTAAACACCCTCCATACTACACTAAAGCATGAGCAGTTTTTAATATTTGGGGGATGCCAGGGTTTAGAGGCACTGACACATCTCAGAAACATGGTGGGTATGAACACAGTTTGGTTTAATTTAAAGCTTTTGTTACATTGTCCCTGACTGTTCCAGTCAGGCTTACATGTAATTAGCAAATTAATCCCAGGTTTTGTTACCCTGTGGACTTGAAGCTGTTTATCTTTGTGCTCTGGTTGTTGCATCATTACTACCAGCAGTCTCTGAGGTGACTAAATAACCTGTTTCAGGAGCAAGATGCTGTACCATCAGAATAAATCCAAGGTTCTGCCATCAGAAGACAAATTCCAGCGGGTGGGAGGGGATTGGCCTCTGATTTAGAATGAAATGGAATCAGAGAAGGAGCTGCTAGTGAAGCAATGGAATCAAAGGGKAGAAGAGGATTTAAGGGGCTTTTGGCTTAGGAAGATCTGCTGTCCACGTAGCTTCACTGTTTTGCAGCGGCATTTRCTATCACTGCTGTTTTCTGGTGCTGATATTGGTTGGAATCCCAGTGTTTGCTGCTTACATCTACCTTTGGTTCCTTTCCCCAGTCTGGCTGCAGTCACTTGGGTCAGTGCCACGTGTTTATTCATCACCTGTCTCGATGGCCCTGTAATCGTTTCAACTCTGTGATTGTGATAGGCTTTACAGATAACACCTACAGTAATTCCTGCCTATGGAGGGAGGAGATAAGGCTGACAATGAGATGAAGAGATGAAGGGCGGCTGTTATTGGAATGAGAGATGGAATGAGGCAGGAGGTCGCTCTCAGGGTTGCCCTCACTCCCAGTCCATGCCCAGCAGCAGCTGCTCTGGCATCTCGGTCCCAAGAGGGCTCTGGGGACCCCCAGCAATGCTCTGGCAGAACTCCAAAGCCCTTGGGAAGGGGGTGACCCTCCCCCCTGCTGTTGTCAGTGTGACCTTTCTGCTCTGGCTGTTTGCCATGGGATGTAAATATTTCTTTTGAACACAAGGGGACCATGGCAGAACGTTGTGTGGGCAGCCAGTCCCTTCKGCCCCTATGGACACGTGGACAGGAAACTTCYRGTGGCCAGGAGAGTKGGGATGTGTTAAACCTTGTMGTTGGTTCCTGATAAATAAAGAAAACAAAACCGAATTTCTTCCTCAGCACCTCTCACCCTTTCCCTGCTCAGAGACACAGGAGGGCTGTGATAATCCAGCTGGAGCTGGGTTACAGAACTCAGGGCTTGGCTGAATGTGAGCTGGCACGAGAGMAGGCTGTGGCAGGGTGCATGTCTGTCAYGGCTGGAGATGAGGTTGTGAAACAMGGGATACTCTTGGGGCTGGGTAACTGGGGCTGCAGGGATGTGGGAGCTTTGCTCAGCGAGGAGAGCCCCTCAGCACAGGGGGAGCAGCCAGTGGGCACTGCGCTGGAGCACGGCACCAGTGGTTCCTTTTCTTTGCTCTGGAGCATTTATCAAATCTCTTAAAATGGTCTCCTCCTTTTCCCCTCCCTCCTCTGTCTGTGCCTCCCTCTCTTCCCTGCTCTCCTGTGCTCCAGCTCTCCCTTATAACTGGGAAGGGGCAATGGATCAACCATCAGGGTTTGGGCTCACATGCAGGGTGTCTGTGTGGGTCCAGCTGCTTTGAGGGCACACAGCATCTCTTTGCCACTTCACTGCTCAAAGGCAGACTTCGCCCCRTTCTCCTCTGGGCTTTCCCATCCTCTTCTTCTCCAAATGTCTTACCCTCTGGAAGTTGGTTCCACAGTCTCATGCTTGGTACCAGCAGTGATTATTCCACCCCAGTCCTCTCAAGTGCTGGCTGCAGTAGAAGGACAGGCTTTATGTGGCATTTGGTGCTGGAAGCAGCTGCTGAGAAATCAGAAAATTTTGCCAAAGAAACAATCCAAAAGCCAAAAAGCTTCAAGAGCATCGGTGGGTTGGAGTCACACAGGTTTTTTGCGTGTTCTGCTGAGGCTTTAGGGTAGGAAGYTGCACAGGAGCTGCTCATGGCAGCTCTGGTTCTGCTTGTGCAGCTTTTACATTCTTCCTGCTGTTTACAGCTTCCCTGGTATTTATCCATCACACAGATGAGCTGTGCTTTGCACCACTCCTTGCAGCCAGTCTCTGGCACAACCGTTGGTTTTCCTCCTAGCAGAACTTCATTCCAGATTGAGAGCCAGTGGGCAATGGGAAGTGCTTTGGTACTGCTTCTGAGATCAGAAGAGTGTGTCAAAATACTGACTGGGAACGAGAGATACAGCGTGCTTTGTAGCCCAGGGAACAGGAGTCATTCCCGGGTCAGGATTCCCACTGCAGAGATGGGTTTTCCCCCCCCCGGGGCAGGATCCCCATCATGGGATGGGTGTCACGCCCTGGGACAGTATCCCCATGGCGGGATGGGTGTCACTCCCTGGGGCAGGATCCCCATGGCGGGATGGGTGTCACTCCCTGGGGCAGGATCCCCATGGCGGGATGGGTGTCACTCCCTGGGGCAGGATCCCCAAGGTGGGATGGGTGTCACTCCCTGGGGCAGGATCCCCATGGTGGGATGGGTGTCACTCCCTGGG